TTGAGGATTAAATTCGTTGCCAACGCTTTTAAAAGTAAATTTTTATAAGAAGGAAAACCATGATCATTGAACCCCTTGCTGGTTCCTTTCACTGTGTGGACATGTGCCACGTCCTGCAGGGAAAATGAATCAACATCTCTATACAGCATCTGCAGAGGATAGCATGAAGTGCTCAGGAAATCTCCTAGTAGGTGGCTGGATTGATGGTGGATCAACAGCAGCAGGTGGCATAACGTCTCAAACTATCAACGATTGTGGAAACTTAACACTGGACAAACATTTCCATTTGCCATGATTTCCAAATGCAATGTGGAATTTACTTTTTACTTTAAAGGGATGTTGAATTTACTTTTGGATTCTAATGCTATCGTTCACCTTTTCCTTCCACTCAATTTTCTGTCAGTTTGCTTGAATGCAGCACTCTGAACATCCAGCTTCTTCAGCAAAGACATCTTGTTGATAACCCTCTGTTAAGGCTGTCCTATGGGCATCTGCCATGTCACAAGTCTTTCCCGTGATTGTGTAGGCTTCTGGCCCAAAGAGAGAAACCATTTAAAGACTCAGAAAACCGAGGGTGTATTCTAAGTTAATTAGCATATTAGGGTGTGAGTTTCCAATAATAAACTGTTTTTTACAGTATTCTAATTTTGTGAGACACAACTGTGGATTTTTAATATCTGTAAGTCACAATAATCAAAATGATAAGAAACAAAAGATTTCAAATAAATTACTCTATGTAATATTCAGATTTTGGTAGATGAACCGTTTAGAAGCCCATTGCATGATACCGCCACTTAAAACACTTATCAATTTCTTCCACCTAAAATTTCAATTGACGTTGCAATATTTACTCTTGGCTCATTTGAAATGCAGCTCTCTTCCTTGTGTTTATTGCGTGCCCTAATAGGCTTCAAATAAAACGTTGTTTTTTAAATAGTTTTTCTCATTTCCCTTAATTTTCCCACATGTGCAATTTCCTTTGGTTTATTACATAAAATCCCAATGAAAGAAAATCTGTGTTTGGAAGGGTGGGAAAATATCTATGAACATTCCTGTCAGGTACTGTAGACATGGCATACAGTATGCAGCAAGATATTGTGCTAAAAGTCGGCGCCACCCTTTGGTGTTGGGAATGCTTCACCTTATAACCCATGTGCTGCACCCTGGCGTTGTCCTCTCGAATCTCCTGGAGCTTCTGTTTTTTCAACCTCTTCAGCTGCAAAAGCTCTTTGTACTCTGGTAAGTTCCTCAGCTCAACAGGAACACCCTCCTCATCCTGAGATTGTTGAAACAAAAATAACAGCAAGGAGGAGTCAGAGCTGGGGAAGCACAAACAAAACATCTCAATGTGACATTGAAAACCTATTATGATGATGAGTTTTCTGATTGTTCTAATCTTTGCTGAACACGCACAACCTAAATGGGAACATAGTTTTATAGTTAAGGCAGCAGAGTTGTGCCAAGTACATATTGTCTTTGATCTAAAGGATAAAAAGAGAAAAAAGATGTTTACAATTAGATTGAACTTTCTGCCTGAATGAGCCTCGCTTTAGTTTTTAAAAAAAGGAAAAGAGACTAAATTACATCTGAAAGTCCTGCAGAAAGTAGTCACACTTGAAGCTTCTTTACAGTAGTGCTAGAAAGCTGCCATCTTACCAGCTTTAAGCATGAAATTATTCCCTAAACATTGAAATAAAGTCTAAGCAGGTGAAGGTTAACCTCATATAACATAAGACAGCATAGCAGGGTGATGGGAGAAAAAAACATCTGTGTTAGCAGCAGGCTTTGGGGAACCAGTTTTACTTAAAGGTTATTGCCATCAAAGGGCCAGAAGAAATGTCAGAGCTTTGATAACACTGAGCATCAGGAGCTGTGTAGTTCAAATAGGAAAGATACACCAAGCTTGCAGACCCTCACTCCTGTTTATTTTTAACAAACAAAATGGCCACGACAGGCGGTAAAATAAAGCAGATCTGAATATTCCATTGATTGCAAAGATCTCAAAGTGCAGCAAGAGAAAGAAACTGTGGTTAGTTTGTTCCATTCTAAATAGATCTGAGAGGCAGAAATGAACAAGGGCTCTACAGGCATTAAACTGACTTTTCAATACCTTTCTAGATGATATTTGTGAAGTGTCCATAGAAAGGAAATCATACTAAATAAAATATTTATTCAGAAACAAGTATGACGGATCAATGTGATTTTGTAGAAAACCTTAAAGCTATTAAATGAGGTTTAATACAAAATACCAGGGTAAAGCTAGCAAGGATATTACCCAAGTCCCCATAAGAGTTTATTTAATATATCAGTCTGCTGGAGGAAAAATCAATAACATGTTAGGAGGAGGCAAAGTGATTTTAAAATCTCTGTCTTTTGAAAGTTTTCTTAAAAGTAGAAAATAGCTTTTCAGAACTACATTTTTTACAGCAGTTACTGAGAGTTTGGTGAGGCTGCTTTGCAGATCTGAACCAGTTTAACTGCAGATCTGAACCAGTTTAACTGCAGATCTGAACCGGTGTAGGTACCAGATCTGCTCTGGTGGTCAGATTTGCTCGGGCCCTGTGCATGCCAGTGACGTTACGCTACATGATTGGCTGAACGTTGCCACATGATTGAAAACGTTGTCGTTGTCCAGACAATGATAACATCACGCAGCATCAGTGTGCAGAGTCGGGAGCATCTGTAGCGTTAGCGCGTCTAATGACCAATAAAGTTTTACCTGATCGATGAAAAAACTGAAAAAAATCTGTTTATGTTTTTTTTCCAAAGTAACTGCAAGACCGTGATATAAAGGGGGAGAGCTGGGTAGCACTGTGGCTAGCTGTGATCAGTAGCTAGCAGGTTAGCCTCTTTTAGCTCAGTCAGTTAGACATATTACGCTACACTACTTTTAAATTTGTGTCAACAACAACCGTTTGTTTTCTATAAAATCTCAACAAAAGTCATTTTTAAGATGTCCCATTTGTCCTCCCCTGCCCTCAGATCTTAATAAAAACAATAAAAATAAGCGGAGACTTTTTTTTTGCCACTTTGGTGAATGTCCTTCAAGGCTGACAATGATTGTTTTCTACTTTCGGCTACTTTAGATCTGCAATTAAATGTAAAACAATAGCAAATAAAGGTAATAATATGTTGAGACTCCAAAAGAGATTTGATCCTTAAGAAACGGGTGCAATATAGTTTGTCCAAGTGGAGTTGCCATATGTTGACATCATAAGAAGTGGGAGGGCCCCGAGCAGATCTGGTACCTACACCGGCCGCCCTGCAGATCTGAGCTCCCTCGCTCTACGATCCTTGTCCTTCATAAAGATTCATTAAATATCTGATAAATTAAGGCCTGAAAACTGAATGAACATTGATTAAAAACATAATCTGATGTACACTGTGTACAACTCTAATAAAATGGTATGATCAGGGATATTCATAGGGATGGAATTAATATACAAGTATATTAATTGTTACACATCAGGAGTTTATCTGTAACATACAGTCGATGCCAACATTATTCAGACGTTTGGTAGATAAATTACTTTAATGACTGATTGGATTTGGCTGATGCCAATGAGGCCTCGCAACCTTAACTACTTTAAATCATTCAAGCTTAATCGTATGACAGAAGCAGTTGGTTAGCCACTAAATGAAAGCTCAGGTTGCTGAAAGGTCAATAAACACAAACTTTAAACACCAGTTTTCAAGGGCCAGTACCCTGCAACTATTTAATCTCTATTCTGCTTCAACAAACCCGAAACAAATAAATTAGGTCGTTAATCAGCTTTATAGCTCTACTGAGGAGGTAATTAACCCAATTTGAATTACCAGTCCTTGAGAACGAGTGTGACAACACTCCTACATAAAATCCAACTTCCACTGAAAGCAGTGACGGTAACACTCTTCTTTTTTTATAATTTTGTCAAGGTTGGTATAAGATAAAAGTGCAAATAAAATGACCAAAAGGCATCTGACTAATTTAATACATTTTTATTTCTATCTCACTTGTAATTTTGAATAACTGTCTCATTCACATCTTTGCTGGGAAAAAAAAAACAAAAAGCTTAATTTTAATTATTGTCATTATGTGATTTCAGTGATTATGGGTTTCAATGCATGATTAGCTTTTTTTTTTTATTTGCAAAAATGTATAAACAATATATAAAGACTAGAACAAAGCAGTACAGGTTACTTTCAACTCTGGCTGTCTTTATAACTGTTGAGTTTAACCATTTACTAAAATCCCTCTTTTTTAAGTCTAATCTTGTTAAGATTTTTGCTTTTATAATAAAAAAAAAAGAGAAAATACTGGTTAAAGAACAAAAAATAAAGTGTAAATCCCTAAGGAGGCTACCATAAGGGAGTTTAGAGAGCATAATTCTTTAAGAAGAGAGGGGCGGTTAGTTGTCGGCCTTTGAATATGTTGCGGGGTTTTTTTGCTAACCTGTGTTGGGGTATTTATGGCTTTATAAAATCCTTTTGATGGTAAAATCCTTAACTCTGAAATACAGACACCTAACAAATGAATACAGCCAGCAACGCATTGATGGAAATAGGAATAAATCAAGACATGAGTATGTTCTTTGTAAATGATGGATAAAAAAGGGACAGAGAGGAGCGCTTTAAATTAAGACTAATAATGCGGCAAAGATTGAGAGAAAAATAGTCATAAGCAAGGTAAATTTAAAATCTGAGTTGTGTAGAAAACCTAGACACCAAAAAAAGGTTAAAGGACAATATTCTAGCAGCTGAGTTCCTGACCCACCGAATCATCAGCAGACGGGTCCTGCACACTGCTGTAATATGCTGAGCGCTCTTCTTCATCATCCATGTAGACTGGAGGCTCGTAGGAGGTTAGGAAGGTGGATGGTCGGTACAGATGCTTGTTTAGGTGATGCTGTCTCTTACTGGAGGCCTAAAAGACAATCCGAGACGGTTACATAGATACGATAACTACATCTTGAGGAAAATTATGCAGTTTTACACAGATAATAATGTATAATAATAATGTAATGATAATGTCAGACACCTCAAACCACGGTTTGTTTGCTAAATATTAAAGGCTGGAGATTTTTTCACCAAATGCATTAGAAACCATTCATGCTCTCCCCCCCCCCAGAGAGAAACATGATTATAAATATTTACTGTAAAAACTGAAAAAACACTAAGTTTAAACTTCAATGTGAAACATAACGTAGAACCCGAGGTGCTGTTCGCTTATTTATTTGCTAAATGGGCCCAAAACTGGAGTACAAGAAATGTCCCATATCATGATGCCAACACCACTGTGCTTCCTAGTGTCCTGCAGCATGAATTCAGCTTTTTTAGGATCATCTGACAAACTTTTTTAGGGAACTTTTGAGCCAAAAATTTAACTGTTTTTCTAGGTATGCACTTTGCTTTGGATTTCCATTTTAGGACAATTCAGATAATTTTTAAAAGATAGAATATAACATGTTTTATTCTCCTTGAACTACTTTCTAGATGTGGTGGAAACATTTAAATACTCAATTGATCCCACAGTTAGGTTGTGCAGGATTTTAAAAACCTATTGGAACCCTGTGTTTTACACAACAGTTCATAGAAAATTTAAGTTTTTAGATTGGATTAGAGGCTGTACGAGAGCTCAAGCTGTAATCAATACAAGCAAACAACAACAAGCCTTTTCCCATCCAGTTTTGACTAAAATAAGCTTAAAATGACAACAAAGTCCAGAATGAAGAGGAGCAAAGACCCAGGGAGCTTTACGGTGTGAAAATGGTTGAGAAAAATGTTAAATGATGGACAGAACAGCTGTATTCTCAGGTATATATTTTTCTTAGGTTTTGCTGCGTTGTTGTTCCC